GCAGGCCGGCGCCTCTCCCGGGAGCCAGCCTCGCGGGCACCTCCCCAGCACTGGCCTGGCCCGCGGCCGGTCCCCTCAGCCAGCAGGGCAGGAAGCCGGGGCCGCAGGACCCCAAGCGCTTCTTCCTGGTGGCATCCCCCACCCCGAGTCCACAAAGGGCCTCCAGAGCCGGCTCCTGTGGCAGCGGCCCGCAGCCTGGGGGCGGCCTGGGGACCGTGTGTGAGCGCTCCCCGAGACTGGGTGCGGCTTATGCCCCTGGCATGGCGGCGGTGGGGGGCGTGGGAGGCGGCCCCTCCGACATCCTCTTTCTGCAGAGGACACAAGGCAACGCGGCGAGCGGCGAAAGGCAGTGGACGAGCCCCGGGCCGGCCGTGGCGCCCGGCCCCTCCGCCGGGGGACGCCGCCCGCCCCAGCCCTGCTGGCCCGCCGGCTCCCGCAGACGTCTGAAGCGGGTCGGGCCCAACGGGCCGAGACCGTCTGTGCCGCGCCTGATGTTAACATGCCCGAAATAACATGGCACCGTTGGTGGCCACTGCTCTCCTCGGGCGGGACGCAGCTGCCCGGTGGCCGCACCTGTGCTGGTCAGTGCGGTGGCCACAGGCCGGCGGGTGCCACGGGGGAGCCTGCGGGGGGGCCTAGGTGAGGGGCGCTGGCCACCGGGCCGCTGACCACCGGGCCGCGGAGGCTGCCCGGAGACCCGCTGACCCCGGTGCCAGCTTCTGCAGCGATTCCCTGAACGTGCCGGGAAGGTCTGAGGAGCAGGGACCGGGCGGGGTGTGAGCACCGGGGTGGGGTCCTCCCGCACCCACTTACCTCTGTGCTCTCCTGCCTGCGCCCCCAGAAGTTCCGCACATTTTGTTTCTTCCTGCTGTATTTCCAGGTGAAATCGGCACTCGGGGTGAACGCTGCTCCCCTGGCCGCGGTTAAACGAAACAGGAATGACCAGAGATCCCACCTCGGGGGAGAGTCAGGCCGCGCGCAAGCCCCCCGGGCCCCCGAACCTCGGTCCAAAAGGCGACTGTGCCCAGGCGCCGCGGTCGCTGCCACGCCCTTAAACAAATCGTTACCTACTTTGTAAAGGAATTATAAAAGCTAATGGGATTTTTTTCCGCGCAGGCAAACAGTCACCAACGCAATGCAGGCATGTTGTCGGCGCTCTCCGCCAACTGGGCTCCTCACCCCGCCTCGCCTGCGGGAGCCTCCATCTCAGACCCCTCATTTAATTACGGGAGCACTTGCTCCTCCGCGCGTCTCCCCAGGGCTGCACCCCGGCGCCCAGCGTCTCCACAGCAGCCTCTGCACCCACAGCGGGGAACCCCAGCACTCCCGGGCAGCCTCTGCACACCCCCTCGCCCCCCCCCCCGCCACAGCCTCTGCACCCCCCGTGGGCATCTCCGCACCCCCTGAGAAACAGCACTGCTTTATTTTTTAAGCTGCAGGTCGCCACCGAAACTGGTGTGAAGGAGACGAAAAGGAGTAACGGGGGATGATGGGGGTCCTCAGTTATTTCCCCTAAGTGGGAGGTAGGTGATGTGATGGGGCTCCCCAAAAGACGCCCCACAGTACACAGGGACACACCAACAGTGATGTTTTCTATGATTGTTCCCCAGAGACAAACGTCAACTCTCCTCTTTAGAAGACAATGTTCCCCGGCCCCCTGGGGGTGCAGGGAGGCGTCTCAGCACCGAAAAGCTGTGGGCAGCCCTGGCCTGAGTCCACCCCCCACGCCCGCCAGGGAGTGGCCACAGGGCGGCCGACCCCTCAGCAGTGTGTCCCAGTGGCTCTGCCCGTTCTGCTCCCCACTGCCTCTGGGAGTCCTCTCACCCTGCACCTCAGCTCTTCTACACATAAATAAATCAAATCTTTAAAGAAAACAGTATGGAGATTTCTTAAGAGTCCTTGGAAGCATAAATAAATACGCCTAAAAAAAGAAGGCCAGCTTCCCTGAGGCTGGCCACCAGGCCGGCCGGCCCTCGCGGCTGCCCGGTGGGGTCTGCTGGCGTCTGGCACGGGTGTGCGGGTGACCCTGAGGACACCTGGCAGAGCTAAGGGCGGGACGGGGCTGACCCATCCCCTCACCCGGCCTGGCAGTGGTCTGAATCTCAGAGTGGAGAAAACTAAATCGACTTAAAGGAAGAAGGCTTCCGTGGAAATGCCGGCGGCATTTTGCAATACGCTGGCGAAGACTGTCCGCAGCGCGGCCGGGGCGCAGCCTGAATCCGAAAGTCCCCGGCATCAGACAGACCAGCCCTTTCAGATACTAAAACTGTGGGCCCTGTGCCCCGGGCACCCCAGGGAGGAGCGCCCCCCCAGACCCCCCAAGACCCAGAGGGCCTCCTGCGCTTTGGGGGAGGGGCGTGGGGCCCATGGACCCTCGCTGGGCGGCCGCGGACACGCCGGACAGCGAGTGCCCCCCGCGGGCGTCGGGGAGGGCCCCCAACGCGAGAACGGGAGACTTGGTGAGAAAAGGGTGCAACTGAGGGAACGCTTCTCGGGACCAGGCAGCGCCGCAAACTGCTGCTGCCGTCAAAACAAAACCCGGCTGTTTTCACGGGAAACGCGCTGCCCGGCCGTCGCCCCGCACGCACCGCAGCTGCAGCCCAAGCTCCGACCCGCCCGCCCGAAGTCGGGGCCCACCGCACCGCGCCCCACTCCCCACTGGCGACCGGCACGAAGCG